ATCAAGTCTAAAAGTCGATAACCAATGCTTAAGGGACAAGACTGTCAATCGTATACAAATCGCGTTCATTTGATGCCGTTAAGAAGGTACACCTACCCAGGGCTTCGGGCACACTGGCGTGACAGCAACGAGGAGGTCGACAAACTCACCACAGATGGCGCTCTTTTTTGAAAACTGTGCCAAATGAAGATTTAGTGCTAGCACGACAAGCACGACATCTGAAAGCGAGAGCAGCTTTGGATAAAAGCCCACAGCTGAAAGGTGTCTAGAATTGTAGCCTCAGGAAACTCTCAAAGTTTCATTTATCTCTAGTTGGTATAGTAAGAAGGCACTGTTGCTTTCACATACACAATTTGGATAAAATTTGGGGGAATACTTCTTTCATTTTCTGGATGTTACAAGCCGACCTTTCTTCAATCGGGTTGTTTTACAGCGCGGCAGGAAACAAAATTGTAATAACATTACTGGAATACCAGATAAGGTAAAAAATTTACCTCGGATACTAGTTGATGCTGAATATTGTCATGAAAAGGTAACTATTGAACGTATGTGGTTATCAATATTCGTCAATCACAGGAACAGTTTGGCTCATCCAGGGCCTCAAGTACAAACTTATGCTGGGTAAGACTGACAGCGCTAGTTAAAGAGTCCACTCGGAGGGTGCACATGTGCATTATGATGCCCATGGGAGGATTTCTGCAGGCCTGTCTTAGGATTTTTTGCGAAACCTAGCAGACCCCCTGATTGTGTTTTTACTAAGTTAGTTTTTCAAAGCAAAGCTGAAGAGGAACGCAATGACCGGTAGTGGGACATAATTTAAATGATGCATTTTTACATCTGAAGTGTTACCAATTTATAAATTTTATTCATTTTAACTGAACGCTTTTTCTGATTTGCCGGGGTTGTTTGAATCTGTCGACAGTGGATGACGGAAATTGGTTCGAAAATACGAGCATCCCCTTCCGATTCATTAAGAAGCCAGAGAAGTTTAAAGAGGAACAAATCTTATAATATGCAGAAAACAAAGACGTCATAATCAAGCTATGCTTAGGCAATTTCAGTAATTGCTTCTAATAAGTTTAAAATGACTATTAACGGCTTTTTAATAGCGCGTGTTTTGTTTAATGTTATTTATCTTTGAGTTATTATTACAAAAAAAATATGTACTAGACTTGTTAGTTGCTCGTAAAAACACATGTACTGAATATATCAGTAAATTTTACTGCACATGTGGCTTAAAGGAAATTTATTTTATTTTATTTATTACTTACACTTCTCATACACATAGATATTAGCACGTACGCACTTTTAATAAGACAAAGCCGCTTAAACTAAACTCTATAGCGTAAAATTAAACGCAATATAATTTTTTTTTATATAAAAGAGCCGTTTCGTTGAGGTTTACTTATAAGTTGCCGATAGTAGTGAGCAGTCAGTTCAGTTGGCTAATTGTGTTTAATTGTTATTGATATTTACTGGAGAGGTCCTGCTGTGAAAGTATTTAAGGTGGAATTGCTTAGTTGCTTTATAAGGTAACGAACGTGAAAGTGCATCTAAAACTTAAAAAATTGCGAAAAATTTATATTTTTATTCAAACAAATATTTCAAATGGATTTTAAGTGAACGAAATTATACTTAATTGGATATGCATCGTAAGAAAATTTAACAAGGGATGATCAAATATTCCTGCCAAAATCCAAATGATCCAAGTGACTTAAACAGCAAGTAACTGATATAATTTGTTTGATCGTGGCATTAAGTATCTCAGCCGAAAAATGCTATGTATTACATATTTAACTAATTTTTCAGTTCAAATACAGAATTCAACTGTACTAACCTCAAGGTTGGCAAAATATATTCGTGGTAATCCACAAACTTGAAAATGCTTCGACAACTTCCAAAGTTACGAAACTTATACTTTCAAGCATAAGGAGTTTAAGCGCGGCAACCTTGCCTTCGTGGTAAATTTGTGGGACCCACTTCCATGTATAAGTCATGTCCTCGTCTTGTAGCCGGAGGCCCAGGAGGGGACTCCTTACCATAGCCGAGAGAGTAGCTAAGTACTTTGAAGTCATTACCCTACTGAACCAATTACTATCCCTAATAAAGCCGAGAAGATCCAACAGTTCTACCTCCACCATCTCGGGTAGACTGTTGGAGATGGGTTAACGCAAGTGCCTGAGGCGCTTTGACTTTACACCCAGATATTAACAATTCCTTATCCTCATCATGGCAGCTTCGGCAGAGAGTAACTACTTCTTGGCATTCACCATCGTTGAGGCATTCCTGCTATAGCAGGACCATTGTCGCTTTATTTTGAAACGATTTTTCGTAATATAAATATCTGGGACTCTCTTGGGAAACATACAGTGCGTCGGCAAGCACAATTCCATAACTATTATTCCCAGCCTTTCTACACAGTCTTTAAAATACCAGGTCTAGCCTTTAGACTTTTCTTGCCTGGTTGTCTTCTCGGTCCGTTTCCACTTGCGAATGCTCTTCTCCACTTTAGGATGCAGTTACATACTGCGCACTTCAAAAAGCCTTCTTTCTTTAGTGCATTAAAAGTTTCCGCTTACGCTGGCCAGATCTGAGTCCGACTCGACAGCAGTACATCCTCTGGCTAACGTCTTTTTTTTTTTTTAGCCGCATAAGAACTACAAGGCAAAACCCCGCTCCGGCAGAGGCGTGACCACTAGTTACACGCAGCGGAGAATCAGGTCCTCCCCCGTTTCCACTTGTGGTAACAGGGACTAGTTTCACCAACATTGGAATTCATTTATTCGATATACTTTCCTTATTTTCATTGTTCAGAGACTCTCAAATTAGGGTTTATACATCTGTTTAGCTGAGAAATCTCGCATATCACCTCCATATAAGTAAGATTCTTGCTTTGGACCCGAATAAAATTTAAATGCGGTCTTCCAACTACATACTTTCGCTTGAATTTATTATACTTTCGCTTGAATTTATTGCTCAAGGAAATGCCGCCCCACAAGACTGGTGGCTGCTGTAGCCAAGTGGTTGGATGTCCATACTACCACTCGGTAGGTACCATATTTTGAGATGGACCAGGCAAACTTGCCTGCAATATCTACCTATATCCCGCTTCATTCGCTTACTTCTGGCTCCATTTATTGCCATTGGGGAAGTTTTTAGGGAAAAAGATAGACGTTTATTTGGAGAGTAATAACTTCTCCATCGTTCTTCGTCTAGTAATGTATGTCAATATAATGACTGAATCAATTGAGTGTGCATTCCCATTTACTTCGTTTTAAAAATGTGATTGTTTGATTTTATCACTTTTGAAATTAGTTAAAAATTTACGATACAAAATATGTAGTGTTTATTGAATGCTAGGGAAAAATCACGAAGAGAATGTGAATGCAACATAGATATTCCCAATCATCTTGATTGTAAATTTTGATCGAATGAAAACACTTTTGATCACTCAGTACTATACTGAAAAAATATGCCTTGGCAGTAGAAGAAAATCTTTATAGTTAGAAGAAATAGTCTGTTTGCTACTGCTTTTCTGCTAAAATTTGGTAAAGCAATACCTCTGACCAAAAGCTTTCATTCATTAACTGTTCAAAACTGTTTTCATAATAAAGCGTTCTTAAACATCTTTATTTTGTTATCCATATTGCAATATTTCATTAAGTTTTACTTTACTTTAAAACAGATGACAACCCAAAATATTAGCCATATAAAGGTTTCTTAAACCTGTTTCGTTTGACATCCATATTGTAATACTTTCATTTAACTTATTAAATTATACTAGACTAGGCAACCCTTATAAAAAATTTTTCGTAATGGAACATAAAAATCAAATTATTAGTTAAATTTAGTTTGCAAGCAAGTGGCAACCCTTTTTAAATATATCTTCGAAACAAAGCCTTCTTGTACATATATAAATAGTATCTCATTCGATTGAAATACATATATATAGTTAAAATTTACTCTACCTCTTAGTAATTAAATTCAATTTGGTTTTTGAAAAGGTTGCTACCTCTTCAAAAATATTTGCAAAAAGATTTTCGAAATATGTAAATCTTTCTTGGGCCTACTTATTTCGTTCCATATTGCAATACTTTATTAAACTCAATAAAAACTGGAATTTGACTTTAAAACAGATTCCAACTATATATAAATAATTTTCTAAATTAAAATTTGTTGCACCTACGCATATACCACTTCACTTAACCTAGTTACAAAATTCTACTACTACTACTACTGCTACTTCACTTAACCTAGTTACAAAATTTTACTTTGAACAGGTGGCAACTCTATTAAAAAAAGTTTTCGAAATAAAGTTTTTTTTTTAATTTCACACGCTTTGGCATCGATATAAATTTCTTTGAACTTAAAATTTTGTTTTACTTTCAAAGCTGGTGGCAAGCCTCTTAAAAAAATATCCAATATGTTAATCTAGATCATGCGATTTCCATGTGCCAACTTTCATCTAAATCCGTCCAGCCGCTTTGGCGTGAAATAAAAACAAAACTACTCACACATTCACTTCCTCACTCACACATATTCGAATTTAAAATATTTGTTTATTTTTTAGTTAAGCTTTATATGGTTTTTATAATAAAATACAATTTGTTTATTATTTTTCAGTAAAAGCAGAGCAAATTAAACAATGAAACGTGTGGCCTGTTGCTTGCTGTTGGTCGCTGCGGTTTTGGTGTCGGCGAGTGTAGCTGGGCATAGTGTCACTGAAGAAATTGGTAAGCATGTGTATAATTTTTACTAACATACAAATTTATGGCTTATTATTTTATATGCAACCTGTTTTTTTTTAGAAACCATTGATCCGGCCACTTTTGAGCAGGTGCCTATAGTCACAGATCCCACATTTTCCGCAGTCAATTTTTCTGGTTTCCATCTAGTAAAATCAGAAACGGAGACAGTAGGTGAAGATATATCATCACCATTAGGTAGGAATTTCAATTCCTTTTATTGATTTATTTTTGATTTTTGTTATGAAAACCTTCATGTTTACGATATTTTATTATATTGAAGGCGCTAAGGTCCCTGTCTCGGATCTCACACACGCCAGTCCTCATATTTCTAGGGTTAATGTCATTAAATCAGCATCTGGGGAGGATGAAAGAGTGGTGGAGGTTATTGGCACCTGGCGTGGTGTGCTTAAAGGTGACCATATCAGTAAGTATTGCAGGTAAATGCAAAACGAGTCTGTGCAAATGTTAAACATTTTCTTGTTAATTTTATTTTCAGTTAGTGGCGGCGTGAATACCACTACGACGGATATTTCTGAATCAACCGGGCAAGCTGGCATAGGTAATAGCAATTATAAGAACCATGGTTACAAAAATTACATCATGTTTATTACCATAACAACCAGAAACCTGAGAGCAACACTAATCGCCAGGCTAAAACTAAAAAGAAAAAATGGTCCCGAACAATCGAGAGGGTGGATTCAAATGATCTCAACAAAAGTTGGTCGCACTCCAGTTTCCTTTTCTTAGAGTGGAGTCTTTCGTCAGGCTTCACTGCAAATGATTTTTTCTACGGAAAGTCTATCTTTGTAAAGATACACTGATGGTGTCACCGTTTTATTACGCCACTTAGTATTACCAAACCAGCACCCGCCACATTAAGGCTCCCAGCAAGTGCAGCAGTACTCTAAGGAGTGCCACGATTCCTCGGAATTAGTAAGCCTAGCCACAGTTTATCTTCTTTGTGCCGGCTATCTACTATATAGTATTTTGACGCTACTAAACCCAACAAATAGCCGCCACCTGGTCAGTGAATGTGTGGTCTCCTTATAATAAAACCTTTTGCTGGATTGGCGCCTAAGCCATACATTTTTTGGTACACTTCACTAGTGTACTTACCTAGCACTCTAATTGCCAAAAGCGCTTCGTTCTCTGAAAGTGGAGCTATCGTAGAACTGGAACTCTTGTAGGATATGTAGGATATAGTACCTAGAGGAGTGACCGGCCCTTGACGAAGATGTAATGAGTGAAGTAGACATATCCAAATATGTTTAGTTTTTGCACGTTCTTTTACGTGCACTAAAAGTTTCCAAAGTAAACGTCTTAGAATAGGGTCTCTCCGCATTAGAGGTAATGGTGTTGAGGAAAAGTCCTTCTAACTTTATTTCACCGCATGCCACTGCTTCTGTCTCTCATCCTGTGAAGTAAAGGATCATAGATAATCAGTTGTTTCCTGACTCCATCCTTCTGAATACCAGTGGCGGTTTTTCGACGCTAAGAGCGAGTGAATCGTTATTTATCTGACCACACTCCTCCAGAAAGCGATTCTAGTCATTAGATAATGATGATTTTTGGATTCCTGGATTCCTGCAGCATACTACTTGCATTAAAATTTAAATTACCATTTCCACTACCCTTGCCATCACCATTGCCATCATCATCACCATTATCTTTAGCATTGACATTTCTGTTACTATTACAATTGCCTTAAACATAACCATTCCCAGTAAACATTTGAGCTGGAGATCAAGTGGAGATCTAATACAAATTCCAAGGTTCAATGTTGTTTATCCAAAATGTTGTTTACCCACTTGAGTTATCATTGCAATTACCATTACCATTTTAGTAACAATTTTTATCATAATTACTATTATCAATACATTTATCATTACAATAATCATTACTGGTGCTACTAGCATTGCCATTACTTTCAGTTACCACTACAATAAAGAGTACCATTAGCATTACCATTGACATTATGATTACTAGTACGATTACCATTACCATCACTACTGCCATTACCAATACCACTTCTATCACCATTATCATTTACATCACCATTTTCATTACCGTTTCCATTATAAATTTTGTAAAAATTTTCTTTTCTAATATTTGTTTAAGTTGGCGACTATACAGACATAAGTTCGATCAGCAGCACAACAACGAAAATCATCAATATTTACGATGAAACGTCGGTGGACAGTGGTACCCAAATCCGTAAGTTGCATAAATACAAGTTTCTTTCTTTAAATTCTTGGCTAAACATGTAATTTTACAGAAACTGAAACTGTACCATTGGGCGATGTGCTGGAAAAACTGGAGTTTGAGCTGAGAAAAAATAGCAGCCAAAGTATTGAACAGCAGCAAGCGCGTAAGTGGAGAAGCACGCAATTATTTAAAATTTATTCTGTATATTTCTAATTTGTTTTAGAAAATGACTACATTAACGGCACTGCGCATCCACCGTTGAGTGTTTGTGTCAAGTTGCTAAATTCAGTTAGCCAGACTAGTGCAGCTACAGACAAGAAAAGCGGGCTGTTTAGAGAAATACTGCACGTCTTGACTGAAGTGCTTCATCCGGACCCCGATGGCGATGGCGGACACAGTAAGTGTGAAAGTGAGAAGAGAATTTTAGAAATATTATTCTAATATCGGCGCGCGATCTATCTTCTTCTTATCATAGATGCTGAAAGCGAAGCTGCGGATTTGCTAAATCAACTAAACGCCATGACTACGCTCAGTCCGGAAGTCACTACTGCGGCGAGCATTGCTGAAACGGTTACTGAAGCTGGTAAGTAAATATAAAACAAGTATGCACCTAAAAAATATTTGAATTTCGTTTATTCAGCTTTCCTAAACTAATATTCAATTTCTTCTTTCTCTTTCGAAAATTACCTTATATTTTAGTCACCGCACAATCCGACCTCGCTAACGCCGATCCTCAAGTGAAAGTTTGTCTCAATATACTATTGGAGGAAATACTAGCTATCCTGGCAATGTACCACAATCATAACAATAGCGAACAATTCAGTGAGTATCGTAGCTTTGGGGGCCGTAATAAAGGCTGATTATAATAATTCCACCGCAATTTCAGCTTCAACGCCCACTATGCCAGTTGTGACTGAAAGTACATTCCAATCGTCAGCTTCGAGTTCAATCGTGACATCTCTTTCAACTTTGCAAGCCACCACTTTTGAACAAACCTCCCCTCCTCCTTCCCCGGCTACTTTGCTACCAACAACTTTAACACAAACCCAGTCCCCGACCGCATCCTCAACCACTGCACAACCAGATACCGCTCCAACAACTTATTCTACTTCAGCACCCTCTCAATCAACAACACCGGCATCACCTCAACCACCTACTTCATCTTACACTTTCCCAGCACCACCACCGTTGTCACAGATCTCATCTTCTACACCACAGTCGACTAATTCAGAACCGACTCCGCCTACGGCAATTTTACAACCAACTACTTTAGCACCATCTACATCAGAAGAAAGTCTTCCTTCAACTACGCCAGCACCATGCCAGGAAACGACTCTTGCCACAATAGTGCCAACTACTGTAGATGCAACAAACCCCTCTACAAATGCTCCAACATTAGCATCAACTTTGCAGCCAACAACACCGGAATCAGCTGGACCTCCTTTTTCTCAATCCTCCTTGCCGTCAACCCAGTTCTCGTCACCTGTATCAGAGCCAACAACACTTGGATCAACGCAACCCCCTACACAGCCCTCGACATCACTTCCACCTTCGCCACCTAACTCACAAACAACCACTTCACAGGAAACCCTTCCTCCTGCCTTCCCATCCACTGCACCATCCACTGTAGAGCCAACCCAACCTCTAATTTCCCCATCTACTTCGACGCCACTTCCAACTTCAACGTCCATCCCGGAAACTAGTTTAGCAGAACTAGTCACCTCTCCTACACTTCCTCCAACTGAGCCCTGTACTTCACAAACAACTGAATTAGAATCAAACGAGCCCTCGACTTCGGTTCCAACTTCAGAAACAAGTCCTTCAGAATCCATGACGTCCACTAACCTTCCGCCGTTTACGATGGAAATAAGCACATCAGAATCAGCCACGTCA